TGCAAAGCTGCCAGGATTCCTCCCTTCCCCAGAGTGATCAGTGAAAACTTGTGAGACAGGGTACCATGGGCTCTGAGCACATTCCAAAGTGCATATGCCACAGTAACCAGGGCATACAAAAGGAAGACCCCCAGCCTTCTTACCTCCAAAGCCTCCCCGGCCTCTGCCACCAAATCCACCTCGGCCTCCTCTGCCACCACCTCGGCCTCCAAAGCCACCTCGGCCTCCACCACGGCCTCCAAAGCCACCTTCACCCTTAGGCTTGGCCCAGTCCAAAGTAACTTTGTTTCCATCAATTTCACCATCTTCCATGGCCTCCTTGGCAGCTTTGGCATCTTCCTCACTGTTGAAGTCTACAAAACCAAACCTAAAATGCCGAGTGAAATTGCCCATTATAGAACACATACTGAACAAGTGCCCAGATTAACCGCACATGCTAGACACTGATCCCATAGGAAGCAGACTTGCTCAACTGAGAAAGACCCAAATAATACAGCAGCTACCTATGGAAGGTTGAAACTGGTTTTACTGACTGCTTGAACCTCAGAAATGTCTCACAAAACAGCAAAATATACCTCTGTGAAGACAGAAGGTAAAATAATGCAACTGTGAATTGTCTCTTCTTCTCGTGCGAATCCATAAACTGCCACCAATGGACAGAAAGGAGCTCAATGAGAAGATGTGCTAGATGGGAGATCTCCACTTAGCAGACACGGAACATTCCCTGCTCATCTTACCCTTTGGAAGACCCAGTCTCCCGGTCAGTGACTATCCTTGCCCGAACAGAGCCATCAAATGACTCCTTTAATGTCTCTTCTGTAGTATCCTCAGACAGACCTTTGACAAACAAAGTTTTGGACGGCTCTATGGAAGAAAAATTGTACATTTTACCTAAAGCCACAATTCATAATAACCAGATGCTGGCTTTCAATAATGTCCAGTATAAGACTACTGGCCAAGAATGCTCATCTTAGCAGATGCTAGCCTTTCACTTAAAAGCTGAAAAAAAGCAGCTAAAAGCAACTTAGCAAACTAGTGCTGAATTAAAAAAGGCATACAACCACCACCATCTTAAGCTTACATTGATTACTAGAGCAGCTCAGATCCTGTCTCAGATCCTTTATGGAAAGCAGAAGTAATGCAAACAAGGCAGACAGCAATCCCTAAGCAGGCAGCTTTTTACAATTACTGCACAGGGCAGTAACCAGGGGCAGATGTACTGCTCGGAGAAGACAGCTGGATCAGAACTTGACTATCTAGAGGAATTTTCTTGAGATTTCATCAATTGTTTTCTCAGATAATCAGTCATCATATCCAGTATCCTCACTTAGCAACAAGAGGAAAACAAAAATGTTCGTCTCTAAATTGGACAAAAAAACCCGAACCAAACAAAACAGAACAAAACAAAAAACATGCAGCAATGCACCGAGCAGTGCTGACCCACAACACCACACCCTATTAAATATAACTCACGGCTCCGGGCATTAGGTGATCCTCTGGGTCCTTGCAACTCCAGTCTGATTGCTCTGCCCTCAATTTCCCTTTTATTACAGGAATTTAAAGCTTCTTTAGCATCTTCAAATGAAGCAAATTCTATAAATGCATACCTGAGGATGAACAATCAATACTTAGAGCAAGTTACCAAGCACATGGCTCCTATGCTATTATCTAACGCCACCAAGCCTTTTACCTCAAAGAGATACTTAAGTCATGCTCTTTATACAAATTTGTGGAGCTGAAGTCATTCAGCTTCCGGTAACAGGAAAAAATAACTTTACCCCCCCCTTTTAGATCTATGCAAGACATTCTTAGAGCCCATAATTGATAACCTGAAGACACTAGTTATTTTACCCTTTAGATTTGCCATTTTGGTTCTGGGGCACTTTAATAAAAGTTGCCTTCTCAAATACTTCCTGAAGGGTTTCTTCTGTTGCATTGTAAGAGAGGTTGCTTAAAACCAGTGTTTTTGATTCACCTACAAAAAAAAAAAAGTGCCAAATGAAGACTGAAGCAATGGTCCCCAAGTTTAGTCACGGCTACAACACCTTACTCAAGAACTTCCACACTGGGAAGAGTTAACATACCAATGTTGATGCAGGTGGACTTCCACCTGTTAGTCATACTGAGTACTTGTCATGCACGATTTCATTCGTTACCTAGAGATAAAGCTACCTGTCTGCATCTTCCTACAACATTCTAATTTAAAAATGCACACTAATTAAGTAAAAAGCATACATATCAAAGGAAACTAATTTGTCTATGTTCTAATGCAAAAGGACTCCGTATAGCTCTCACTCAAGACACTGAGCTATTAATTACAAAGAGGTGTAACTTGTTTGATGTCAATCTACAAGGTTTCACCCATCAATCCTGGGATTCCCTAAGTTCTTACCACTCCAAGTGCTATTCTTGCCGCCTCTAGAGTCGTGACTTTGACCCTTCTCTCCGGTGTAGAACAGGGAGATAGCCCGCCCATCTATCTCTGTGCCCTGCTTTTCTTCCAAGGTTTTTTCTGCATCAGCTTCGGTCTTAAATTCAATATAAGCAATCCTGCAAAACAGTGGGGGGGAAAAACCATATTCTTCTAACACAAATGTTTTAATCTCAGCAACAGAAACTCGTTTCAAATGAGTACAATAAAAACTGAAATGTTCTGGTTTTCTGCCATGTTCCGCTTCTCAATTAAACTTTCCTCCCATACAACACAAGGTTGCCAAGTACACCTAGAACATTTGCTCCTGGTCTCCCCACCTCACTGCATAACTACTATTACTTACAAAGCTTGGCACACTGCACAGTACTTTATACATACCAACTCGCCTTTTAAAAAAATCACACTATGGATTAAATATATTATCTCCACTGTACAGACAGGAAATGGAAGCACTGATTAAAGGTTAATTTGCCCAGTATCACACACCGTGGAAAGTGAGATCAAAATTTCTTTTACGAAATCAGGGAAATGCATTAATTTAAATAAAACTCAACCTTCCATAGACACAAAACATACCCTTTACTCTTTCCATCCTTGCTGACTAATCTGATCTCCGCAGCATCTTCAAATACTTCTTTTAATTCATCCTGAGTAACTTTGTAAGGCAGATTTTTAGCCAAAAGTGTTCTTGCATCTCGATCTAGATAAAAAAGACAAAACTGGAAACATACAGCCTAAAAGACACTCTCCTCACCCACAAAGACCAACTAATGGAAAAGTTCTGTTCAAATAATTTGAGATCCTACAATATATAAGGCACTCTGCTAATATGGAGATGCAGCAGTGGAAAAACACAAGCTGCTGTTGTAATTGAAATCAAACTTTGTGCTGAATACTTAGAGCGGAGCTCAAACTAAAATAGGTGCTCAATATTTTTTGAATTAAAAAACCATCAACATACATTTTGAAACACGGCAAGTGAACAGAGAGAAGCTAAAGGATACGAAGAGCGTAGCTGGGACGCACTCTAGTTCCAGTGAGGAAAGACCTCTCTATAGTTAACCAATTCTTTTTTTAATGAAGTCTATTCTTGCTTACCTGACTCAGGAATTTATATCACCAGCAAGCAGTGGATTTAACAGTTGAACTCACTTAATTCTCACATTATAAGGAAACCCAAAAGAAAAAAACTAAACTATTTAGTCTGGCCACTTAGCTCCAACTAGATACATATCCGTTAACAAGTTAGAGAGCAGTATCACAATCACCTAAAGCCTTACATACCTTTCTTACTGTCTTTTCCCTTTGGTTTTTCTAGTTTAATTTCGTTGCCGAAGACTTTTAAACCAGTGAGTTCCAAGGCTTTTTCCAGGTCTTCAGCAGATTCAAAATCCACATAGCCAAACTTCCTTTAAGGCGGTAAGATGAAAAAAGCAAAAATTATGAGTGGGGGAAAATCCCACAAAAACACAAGCTATAGACCACATGCCGGGCAAGCAGTAACACTAATGTGAGGATGCAAACAAAAGGATCAAATTAAAACAAAAACACCTACAGTATTAACAGAAGTCAAGGCTCTATAAACTGTTGCTACTACAGCGTAAGGTGTAAATACTGATGCGAGTTTACCTTTGAGGTCTTATTAGCCATACTGCTCATAACAATTGATATTAACCGACAAAAAGAACCTGTTTTAAGCACTAAGAAAATCCTACCTAAAAGCATTAACCATTACAGCTCTTCAAATCCAGTACTCTTACATACATACATATATATTCTTTTTCTTAAAGACTTTATTTATCTGACAGAAAAAGACACAGCAAGAGAGGAAACACAGGCATGGGGTGTGGGAGAGAGAGAAGCAGGCCCCCCGCGGAGCAGGGAGCCCGACGTGGGGCTCAATCCCAGGACCCTGGGGACCATGACCTGAGCCGAAGGCAGATGCTCAACGACTGAGCCACCCAGGCGCCCCTCTCGTGCATTTTTAAAGATTTTATTTATCTGAGAGCACGCACAAACATGGGGGCGGGGGGTGGCAGGCTCCCTACTGAGGGAGCCCAATGCGGGGCTGGATCCCAGGACCGAGATCATGACCTGAGCCGAAGGCAGACACTTAACCGACTGAGCCACTCAGGGGCCCCAAATCCAGTATTTTGAGATGGTTCTAGAAGCTTAAGCATCAAATCTCCTAACTTATTAAAAATTTAGAACAAAATTTAAAGATTTTGGAAACATCAATTTGGGATTTTATATTTTGATAATCTGGTAACTTAATTCATTAATCTCTAATATTTGAAGACTTGCAAACCCAAAAGTAACGTGCAGAACTCCCTCATACTCACCTAGACACACCAATTCTGACATCCACAACGGCAAGATCATTTTTAGCAAAAAGGTCACTGATGCCCGTTTTTAATTCAGGAGCAGATTTACTGAAGTTCAGGTTTCCAACAAAAAGATTGAATGACGTAGTCGGTTCCGTAGCTGTGCAAAACACAAACTCAAATTAGTCTACTTGTAAAGTATGGCATAAGCTTAAACTTCCAGTCTGCCATTTCCACACAGAGCACATCAGACATCACAGTATCACATCAGGTTTCAGTATTAAGTCCCTTTGTTGTTCATCACTTGTGCTATCTATCAGGCATCCTAACCCTCCCCAATCCCCCCCCATTCCCCGGTCACCTTCTACTTTCTGCTTCTTGGCTTCTGGAGCTGCTTTCTGTTTGGCCATTTCCTTCTTTCGTTTTCCAGGTGCTTCTTTAACAGGCTCTGAACAACATTTCAAGCAATCTCGTTACCAGTGAGGAGCCACACAGAATGGCAGGCCTCCCCCTACCCTTTCTAAGTTACCTCTGTACCCAACATGTGGCTCGAACTCATGACCTCAGTCAAGAGTTGCATGCTCTAGCAACTGAGCCAGCCAGATGCCCCTTGAAGTGTCTCCTTCAAATTTTTAGAAGCCAACTTGATTACCTTCCTCCTCCTCCTCCTCCTCCTCTTCCTCGTCGTCATCCTCCTCTTCCTCATCGTCATCGTCATCTTCCTCCTCCTCCTCCTCCTCTTCATCTTCGTCCTCAGCTGTGCTCTTGGCCTTCACAGGAACAGCTTTTGCAGGGGCTTTCTTCCCTTTGGCTGGCGTAGTCTCCATAGCATCTTCTTCAGAGTCTAAAAGTGATGCAACTTAGTCAAACACTCAGGAGAATTCTACCAAAACAGTATTAGTTCTAGGAAAATCTAACGGAGACATACTCCCATCAATGCCCCTGTGCTTAGCAAATGATGGAAGGCAGTGAGATTACTTGGAAGCAAAAGGCTCCATTACGAAAAATGCTCACAGAATGTGCCGTTGTAAGCGCCTCCTCAGGGGCAGGCAGTGATTGTGGGTAAGCCTAGCGTGCCGCCAACACCCCAGAAAACCCCTGGAACGGTTTTCGCCTAACTCCCAGGTCGTCACGGAACCCACAGAAGATGGAGCATTACTACCGAAACTCACCCCTGACGGATCTTACAAAAGGGGCCCAAGAACCAACGAAAGAACTCCTAACCGTCTTCCTCCTCGTCGTCGTCGTCCTCGTCGTCGTCATCCTCGTCGTCCTCGTCGTCGTCGTCGTCCTCCTCCTCGTCCGAGGCAGGGCCAGCCGCAGCTGCCTTCATCACCGCGGGCTCGAACTCGTCCTCGTCGTCGTCATCCTCGTCCTCGTCGTCGTCGTCCTCGTCACTGTCGTCCTCGTCGTCGTCGTCGCTGTCCTCCTTCCTGGCGTTCTTGCCGTTCTTTGCTCCCTTGGCCGGGGCGGCCGCTCCCTTCTTACCAGGAGCTGCTCCCAGTGCCTTGCCTGCTGCGGCCCCCTTCTTGCCAGGTGTCGCTACCGCTTTGGCCGGCACAACGGTCTTCTTGGCTGGCGTGGCCACTGCCTTTTTGCCAGGGGTGACAACTGCTTTCTTGGCTGGTGTGGCAACTGTGACTTTTTTTGTCGGGGAAACCATCACCTTCTTTGCTGGAGCTGTGGTGGCAGCCTTCTTGCCTTTTTTCTGAGGAATGATAACCTGAAGAATAAATAAAACCAAACGTAAGTCTGTTGCCAAACCCAAAAAGACAGCTCGGTGTCATGAGCCGGTACTGAACCCTGGAACTGGCGCTGGCTCCAGACCACGCGCAGGAGGATGTACGCTAGCGGGCTCAACTACAGGCCCGGGACACGGGCCCCGCCGTGTGCCGGAAAGGAGACCCTTCAACGTCAAGTCCAATGCTCAAGCATACGGAACCCCTCCTTAACAGTTAAAGTACCTCACACATCACAACCCCATCTTTAAAGCAGCACAGCCTAACGCGGACTCCGACGACAGGCCGCGCGGACCCCACCTGCCACCGTGTGACAGCCTTAGGCAACGCTTTAAAAAAAAAAAATCCTAAGCCTCAACTTCTTTCTCCCGTGAAGGTAACAGCACCAACCTCACATATTGTTAGAGATTATGAGTTGACGTATGTAACTGTTAAGTCCTGCACATAAAAAGTTCTACTCGTTAAGTGCTACTAAATCATTTAGAAGTCCTAGAGTGGGTGGCGCTATAAAGTTCATTGAATGCTCATTATTAAAACCAAAAAATAAAACGAGTATCAAATACACTGGACAGTTAGCCCCTGCAAAATTAATACAAAAAGTGAGCATCTTAGGCTTGATAAAAACCGTTATTCACCTACATTTAAGTTATACTTTTTGCTCACTGCTGGTTTTATCGGGTAATGTATTATCAGTAAAACCTCGATTAAATCCTACACAAGAAATCTGAGCACAAATACAATAGTTGTCTTTACAGTGAACAAACAGGAACCAGGAATGGTAACAGGTTATACACAAAAAGAGGTGGCAACCCTCAACCCACACCAAGAGGTACAGTAACCAGTATCACTAAGCTCATACACAATGAACAGAGACTAAATCCCGCTTAGAGGCTGGGAAAATAATTAAAATAACCACTATTATTATTCTGGTAAAGCTAACCTCAAACCTGAATACAATGCACAGCAATGCCACTCAACAGTTAACAGTCCAGGCTGTTTATTCATCTAGTATGTTAGGTTAACATACTCAAACTAGAAAAATGTCACTAGTTAGTTAACAAAACATGTAACACCAAGCCCTGAACAGTGCTCATGGAAAGGAGACTCCCAATCTTTTCTCTCAAATCCAAATACTTACCTGTATCAACATGTCAATGAAGGGCTTGGGAAACAATCATGTCAGCAGGCCATGGATGAAGGAATATAATCTTACTTTTGTCAATATTTTCAGACATCTAATACCACCTGTTTTAACTCTCCATTTCCTAGTGGAACACACGTCTGCATTAAGTCGTATATAATTACCTCTTCTCCGCTGCTATCATCATCTTCATCTTCTGACATTTCCTCATCTTCACTGTCTTCTTCTACCTCCTTTGGGGGAGGAGCCATTTTCTTGGGGTCACTTTGATTTTTACCAGCCTAAAATAGACATTTAGCACATTACACCTACATCTCAGACCATTCATATTTTGCCACCATTCTTTAGAAAAAAGCAGTCATCTCCCTTTCTTAAAATCCGTCTTTCCTACTGCTAGATATTAAAATAAAAATATAAACTGTTATTGAGGTCAACGTTAAAACAAACTGTCAACCCCCACTCCATTATTCCTGTCACGTTTTACAAAAAGGACCCGAGAATGGAAAGGCAGCTACAAGGAAAATTATCTCCCTCCTCCTTCTGCCTTCGTTAAGCACATCCGTTTTTTAAAACTATACTTGCAGCATCAACCATTACCTCAGACGTGAATTTAATAAACTACAACTGGCCAATTTTAACGGCAAACAATCCGCAGCCCTTCACCGAGGGCGGGGAACTACACCTGAAAAAAAGCCTTTGGTAAATTCTGGCACCACATCCTACACTGTCGCCTGAATCCAAATTCGGGGGAGGATCTTTAAGACAACTTTTTTTTTTTTTTTTTTAAATCAGACCTTAACCTCACTACAGCTTTGGTCTTCCCATAAACTTCCCTCCCGTGGTAACAACCCCGCCCCTTCCAGGCCCGGCGGGGCCACGTGGGGATACCCCGCAGGTCCCCATGTGCGCGCAGCACGGCACAGAAAGCACGAGGCTGGGCCTCCTCCTGGAGCCCACCTCGTGTCCGCCTGCCTGGCCGGAGCCGACATCCCGTGGGCCGCAGGGCCTCCACCTAAAGCAATCCCGCCGCTTTTCCACCTCACCGCCAGGTCCCCTCCGCAGACGCCGGGGCACACGCGGCGCGCGGCCCACGTGGCGGGCCGCGCGCTGGGGCACGTGCGTCAGGAGGCGGGGTCCCGTTTGGGCCAGCCGCAGGAGTTTGGCATCATCCCTCCACCCCGGGGCCCAGCGCCCCCTCCCCAATCAGTCTTGAAGTCTTTCCGCGCCCCATCAACCACCCGCGGAACTTGCCGAAGCTCTTCACCTCTCCACCAAATAGCCAAAAGCCGCGAGACCTCCCCACTAATCGCGCGAGATTTCCCGCAGCATGGCGCCCTCGAACGCGCCCGGGACGGCGCGCAGGCCCTCCTCCTCGCGGCGCCGCGCGCGCGCTCCTCAGAAAGCAGGCCTCAACGTCCATGCTTGCGCAAGCCGTCTTCTTACCTTTGCGAGCTTCACCATGATGGCGGCTTATGCCGACAGACTGTGTGGCGAGCGAGTGGCGCAGACGAGCCCAGAGAAACCCAAGCGACGTCGATGGCGGCCGCTGGTACAGAAGATCCCGGAGCGCGTACACTTGGCTGCTAGCTAGAGCTCGAGACTGAGGCGAAAGACTGAGCCTGCCCAGTAATCGCCTCTGGAAAGGCGACGACGGCCCCCTCGTGACTCCGTCTCGACCAATCAGAGGTTGCGCCCATCCCCTGGACCAATCGCGAGCCTCTACCCAAGAACGGCGCGGGGCGGGGCGCAGGCGGGAGTGGGCGGGCCGAGGCGGGCAGGGGAGGGGGAGGGGATTCGGTGGCGGCGCCCTGGGGGCGGGACTTGCTTTGTGCAAGGCCGGCGCTGATTGGGTAGTGAGAGCGCGGTTCCTGAAGTGCCCCTCCGCGGCTCGCTGTCCGGGCGCCTGCGCTGTGGGACGGACGTTTTTGGCGCCGCTCGTTCCTGAGCCCCGGGCTGTTGGATAAGGGGTGGTCTTGGCTTCCCGAATGTGTCGAGGTCCTGTGGACTCGGGAGGCCTTGGAGATGCTACGCGGCTCCGGCCCGCTCTCCACGCTGAGCCGCCCGGCGGCCGTGGAGAAAGCAGTTCGTCCACCGTTTCCCCGCTGATGAGCCCGAGACCTCCGGAAATTCAGGGTCCGCAAGGTTCACGGCGCCCTCGTTGGAGGCCCATCTCAGCCCCGCCCGCCAACGGACCAGGGCCAGAAAATCCCCGTCTGCAGGTGGTTCTCTCCCGGGCCACGTGTCCGAAGCTGCCTCCTGAGAGCTTTTTTTTTTTTTAAATAAAGACAGTCGCGTATGTTGTGAGCAGTGCACAGATAGCACATTTAATGTCAAGTAAGCTCACGCACTAGGTATTTCTCCCAATGAGGAAAAGGCCCAGAGAGATAACTTTCTGGTGGTCACCAGGCGTCGTAACTGGGGTGGGGAGAGG